TCTCTCTCTCTCTCTCTCTCTCTCTCTCTCTCTCTCTCTCTCTCTCTCTCTGTGTGTGTGTGTGTGTGTGTGTGTGTGTGTGTGTGTGTTTTCCTCTGTATGTGTGCGTGTGTGTGTGTGTGTGTGTGTGTGTTTTCCTCAATTAAAAAATGCCCAAGAGATCAATGGACAAACGTATATTCACCAAACAGGTGGCACTGTGCCAGTGTGCCCACACTTGTTTTACTCGGACCATGCTCACACTACCGTTTTCACACTTAAATAACGGCCCAGATGAGCTTCACATTCACCTATAACGCGCAGGAGATATATTCGTGTGAAAGACATTCTGCTTTGCTTAACCACCAGCCCCCCCTGCAATTGAAAAATGGTACTCCTGTGAACGCACCGATGCCAGGGCCGGGGCCGCACAGGGGTTGGCGTGGGGCTTTCGGCCTACAGGTCACAAGTGGTCAGCATCGTCTCATGAAAAATTTGGAGCGTGCCAACTTTGACGATTTTTTGCATTCATTATATTTCACAACAAAATATGGAAAAAAAATCAGGGCCGTCAGGGTTTTTTTTTTTTCTTTCAATGCTCATCTTTCCTTGAACAACATCTCAAAATTGAAAAATCAAAAAGAATATCCGAGATGGCAAAAAAATCCCTTTTCTGGGTTTTCTCAGAAAAAGATTACTATATCACGCCCAGGAAATTATTTCTGGGTGGCTTTCCAACCGAATCTGACTACTCTTAGGGTCAGATACATGCACAAAACGTCATGGTGGTGCGAGTAGATGCCCTCAATCACTCGGTCACTCACCCATAAGCCGAAGAGCAGCCCCAAGCGTGCCACCTGTGGCAATGAGGTCATCAACCACAATGATCCGATCGCCTGGATTCACAGCACCAACGTGAATCTCTATTTTATCTGTGCCATATTCCAACGAGTACTCCTCGCCAATCACTTCACCTGCGTGTGCCGCAATTACCACACAGACCACAGCAACTAGGATCAGGAATTTGCTGCAGGGTCTGTCCATACTGGAATAAAACTGCACAGGCACAGTCAGATCTCATAAGCACAGATTAAATCAGATGTCAGAAAGACAGATTATGCCAGACGTCAGAAACACAGATTATGTCAGGTGTCAGAAACACAGATTATGTCAGAGGTCAGAATGTCTGTTTGCTGGTTTGACCCTGTGGTTATCCATAATTAGCACATAGAAATGTTATGATCCAGCATCTCCTCTATTTCCTCCCCTCCCGACCAACCTGTTGGAACACTCGCAAGTCCAAAAATCCAGACAGGAAGGTTGAGCAGGGTGAAACGCGGGGGTGCAGGGACGGAGTTGGCGGGGGGGGGAGGTTCCGGAAGTTCACCTCGGAAATATGAAAGCAGAGGAGACGGGGGCAATATGCATCTCTTTGCTGCTGCTCCGCTCTGAGCGTGTGTACGGAGGAGCTCTTGGTGCAAGGAGCAGTTAGGGTGAGGAAGAAGAAGCCCTGAATATCTACGCAGTGGTAGCCGAAGAGAGTACTTTTGGCTTGACACTCTCAGCCTCTATACCTGTGCGCTAGGTTTTACCGGAAGCTCCTGCCTTTTGACAGGAACATCATTGCAGCCTGAAATTCGCCTTTGGAGACTGAACCTAACGATATCTGCCTACATTCAGGCRTTGGACCATCATGACGCACTCGGAAGCTACCAACCTTCCTAAGCCTACCAGAATCCCCAGGCCTACCCGAGCTGATGGAAAATGCTACCAWGTTCTTTCAACGTTCTACTTCTGTCCTTGTCCGTGTCYGTGAAGTCCATCGAGTGTAAAGAAAACAAGTAAAGTCGGTGCAGCTACGCCCGCACACATGGAAATACCAATGAGATATTCGGGGTCTGCATAAGTATCCATCTATAATGGACGATAAGTCTCTCTCTCTCTCTCTCTCTCTCTCTCTCTCTCTCTCTCTCTCTCTCTCTCTCTCTCTCTCTCTCTCTCTCTCTCTCAGGAGGAGGGGAGAGG